TATATATATATAATAAAAGATACCTCGATATTACTAAATATTAATTCTACAGTTTCTAAGTTTAATTTATAGAAGGACATAATATTACAATAAAATAAGATTTCTTTTAACAACAAAAACAATTAACAAATTACAAATAGGCTATTAGGAATCGGAGCTGTAACAATTGCGTGTTTTCGATTGATCTGATCTGATAAAACAATCTTCTATAAATAATATATTTGTCCGAACATTTCGGCTAACTTCTAGCCTTCATCAGCCAGAATACATAAAATCCACGAATATCTTCATCCTGATTATACTTCAATATTCAATTTCCCATAACCAGTTAATAAACTGGATGATTAATGATATTTTGACCTTAAATGAATAATATTATAAATGAATATTAGAGTCGAAAAATATTAAAAAACTTACAGGAATTGCTGTGGAGATTCATCCCAGGAGTACATCAAATACAAATTAGTCCTTACATCATAATTATTGTAATGCAAATTCTTTTCGTGAATTAAAATTTAAGACAAAATGATGATAAATAAATATAATATATATATATTGTACAAGTCGATGATGTTCATGCTGCGGTATCAATCGTCGTAATGAAAATGGATTATTATTAATTATAAACTTTTAGTGGTCGGTCAAATAACAAAAATATAAGGAACTAAGTAACTCAGTGTCTTTGTTTATTAATATCCTTCTTTTGTCGTTTGATGTTTATCATTTCTGATATTAGTCTTTTATGATAGTTACGTTCATGTTTAATATTTGAACGTTATTCTAATCAAAATCATGATTGTGACGTGTTCTATGATTTGTGACAACTAAAGGATTGATTTTATTTCTTTTGATATGATTTTTATGTTTGGAAATCCTCATTTTTAATTGTCTACATGTTTGTCCAACATAGGAAGCGTCACAATCATTACAAGAAATTTTATGTACAATGTTTTTTTTGCAATCTGCAGGAAGAGGATCTTTTTGCGTTTTCATCAAACTAAGTTTGTTATGGCTGAAAAATGAGAATTTATTGAAATCTTTGATGATATTTTTAAATTTTTCGGAAATAGACTATATATATGGAATTGTGAATCAGCTCGTTTTTTTTTCTTGTCTTTATTTGAGGAATCATTATTATTATTGATGGTTTGATTGAGAATTTTTTTATTTATTAAAACTTTAATGTTTTTTCGTATTATATCAAAAATGAAATTTAATGGATAATCATTATCTAATAAAATTTTGACCACCTGTTCGAGGTTTTTTTTGATGGAAATCTGTGTGTGAGATTTAAAAAACTCTATCAACTGTCCCTAACAATCCCTTTTTTTTGGGGGGAGAGTGTTGAGATTGCTAATTAAGATATCTTTCAGAGAAAGATGGTTTGTGATATATGTAAAACTTGATAACATTGTTTTCAATAATAATGGTATCTAGAAAATTGATAGTATTATTGCCAATCTCATGTGTGAATTGTATTCTAGGATGATAAGAATTTCTGTACAAAATTTCTGTACAAAGGTTGGCTTCAGATGCTGGAACAGTTATAATTTCTAAAACAGTTATAAATCTTCATATTTTTGTTATTTGACTGATTATTAAAAGTCTATAACTAATAATAATCCATTTTCATTATGACGATTAACACCGCAGCATGAACATCATCGACTTGTATTGACAATATGTATTATATTTATTTAATTATCGTCGTTTTGACGATACTAAATTTTAACTCACGAAAAGAATTTGTGTTACAACAATTATGATGTAAGGACTAATTTGTATTTGATGTACTCCTGAGGTGAATCTCCACAGCAATTCCTGTAAGTTTTTTAACATTTTTCGACTCTAATATTCATTTGTCATATTTAATATCAAAATATCACTGACAAAATATCACATCCAGCTTATTAATTGTTATGAGAATTGGAGTATAACTACAGGAAGATATTCATGGACTTTATGTAATATTCTCACTGATGAAGGCTAAAAGCCGAAACGTTCGGACAAATATATTATTTATAAAAGATTGTAGATCAATCGAAATAATTATTAGAGCGCCGATTTTTAATGGCCCATTTATAATTTGTTAATTATTATAGAAAGACAGTCTGTGCATATTTTACACACACACACACACACACACACACACATATATATATATATATATATATATATATATATATATCTTATATCTGCTCTTAAAAATTGAATATTTCCTGACTATCAGCATCTTGTAATAAATCGTTATATTACACAATTCGATAATGTAAAAATTCCCTTGACGTGACACCATCTACTGCGTTTAATACAGAACAATGTAAGATATCTCATTACGGTGGTGTTTAAGCGTCCGATCATTATATCGACAGAAAGCCATGTACGTCGTTTCGTGCAATGTCCCATTACGAAAAGATGGAACACTTTATCCGAATGAGGATGGCTCATCCACCATCTCATCGCCCTTTTTTCTCCCTTCTGGGCCCAAGCGAGACGAGTCCGGTGGTCGATCGCTCTCGGTCCAGAAGCAAACAGCTTTAGTGGCAACCGCGGAGCGCCACGAAGAGAACCGGTTGGAGACGACAAGCGGCGGCCACGAGGAAATTGCAAGCTTACCGAGTAATGACGTTACCACCAACGCAAACCTAATTACAGGCCCAGACATTGCCAATCGGCCTGGCCCCGTCGCTGTCGTCATTTAAGAGACTCCAGTATCGTGGCTCTCGGCAACTCGTTTTGATAATTTATAAGCAAATCGAGGTGCGGGAAAAATACGAGCGATGACAAGCAGTGTCTCGCGAAAGTCATCATTAAATTTTTTAACAATGATTTAATTTCCGCAAAAGAGTTATCGCTTCATTTCATGTGCGAAACTGATGTATTATTTCGCAGAAACTCATTAATTATTTTTTAGAATTTTGATTTTATTTCAAATCAGTTTTACAGTTTTGGGTAAACAGAAAAAAATATATTCTGATCATTAAAATAAGAAAATTGAGACACCAGGTTTATGTAGTATCTCACTTTCTCATGAAAATTTACTTCAGTAGTTTTTATCAGATTTCAAAAGATTTATGGAGAAAGAATTCTCACTTTACTATTTGTATATCTGAGCGTGACAAATGTCATCAAAAATACTTATTTTATGAATCATTGCTCGAATATTTTGTTAAAATTTGTAGAGCTATAATATATTGTTACAAATCGGTAATCAACCATTCAAATCGTGAGAATAAAGACAGAATTATTTATTGTTGATAGAGACTATAAAAGACTAACTCGCATTTTTTAAACGTTCCAACTCTTACGCTTATCACATCGAATTCAATGCTGGAAAAAGATCAGAACGCGGCATGGCCGCGTTTACCACTAAATATTACAAAAACACGTAATAAAAGCAAACGTATGCAAACAGTGATGTTTTATTCCGTAATTTTCCGCATTATTGTAGCTCAAAAAAAAGTATTAAAAACCATCAAGCACGCATCTTTTTTCACATTCGTGAACAAGTTGCATCGCACAAAAAGTCCGCGATCGTTTCGTCGCGTATCAGCGGTCATAAATTATCCGGTCGACTATAAAGTGGCCGAAAACGAGGAAAAAACAATTCTACACCGTCGTTCTCTCGCGCTTGCCGGATAAAGCTGGGCGATCGTCGATCTTCCTCTCCCGACTTTCCGCCTGGCAGATATTTCGGGCAACGTCCGTCACGCTGCGAATCACGATGTCCCCGTCGACAGAAAGAGACACTGACCTTTCCACGTTACGATAGCACGCGCTGTTTTACGCAACACGTAACGTAGTGTGTCAGTTAGTCGACTCCCGTTTAAGAGTAGTGTCTTAAGAGAGACATAAACGTCATTTATATTAACTTGCCTTTCATTCTTTGGCTATTAAATCATTCTGACGAAAATTATTCATACTGAATTCGATTTTGCGTTTTCTGTGCAAAAATTAAAAGCATAGTCAACAAGAGGTTTGCTGATATGCATGTAAAATAAAAATTCTTATCTCTAAATGCTCGGAGACAACTGTGTATATTCTCATTAACTGTTAATGGAATTGTAATGATCCCTAAGTATTCCAGATACTAATAGGATAAGATAACAATTCCAAATGCATGCTTTTAGAAGCATCAAAATTATTCCACGTGTTTTATTTTTTATTTTTAGTCTAATTTAAAAAAGAAGCTTCGAAATTTTCACGCATGGAAACTTTCCTCGAGTAGAGAATGTAATATTAATACCATCAATCATAGGCATCCACCAAAAGTGAATTAAAATGAAATTAGAATTTAATAGATCTCTGAAAATTATATTTTCGCTGTCTGTATTCTTTGTGGAAAAAAACGTCAGATCATACATTCTCCTAGAAGAAAGAATAATAACTTGGGCGCGATTCCGTAACTCTTTACACGTCTACCGACAGTTGTCATTGCGCAGATATTTTATATGAAAAAACTGCGCAACGACACCGACAACTGTCAGTAAGCATATAAAACAGTTACAGAAAGAATATAGGGCCCAGTAATGGGCTCGTATTTCATTTTCTCAGATGCGAGGGATATATGTATATATCTGTGGGATATAAACATGCGAAACTGATTTCGT